ACAAGTACCTGGTGGTGGTTGAATTATCCTTGCATACAGAGAAGTTTCTTCAAATCCAGTCTGTTATTCCAAAGCTGCTGTGCCATCTATATGGATAGTACAGAAGCTATTCCTATTCCTTGATTGTGGTTAACAGTCATTTTGCAGGAGATTTAAGATGGAAGCTTCTGCCTCCTTGGCCTTGCAGTCTCCTAAGGTGTAAATTGATGTGCACAAAGGGCAGACAAACCCTGTGAAGTGCTGAATAACCTGTAATGCTCATCACTTCAGCCAAGCTCTTAAAAGCAGGGGTAAAGCTGAGAAGGCTATGATATGATGCAGGATTGATTAGGATTTCTCACATGCCTAGCCAAGGAATATTAATTTCTTGTAAAATGCATAAAACTGTTCAGGGAACAGAAATCATTCTTCCTTTCCTGTACAAGTGCCTGTCACTGGAATCACATTTGTTCCCATTTTTTCTTTTTTATGACAAAAGGATCTTGAATTGCTGTTTAGACAGTATCCAAGGGTCATGTCAGTAACAACTGCCACTGTCTGAAACAGTGGTGGTTAATGGAAGATTTGAATCCTTTCTAGGAGGGAAGGGAAAGTTACCCTTGGATGTTGTGCTTCTGGCTGGTGCTGTAACCACCAGGCATTTGTTGCTGTGAGCAGCCTTGCAACACATGGCAACATCTCTTTTTGTAGATTGCAGAGGTTGTGGGAAAGTAGAGCCCATGGCCTTTTTCTGTTTTGAGAGTGAAGGTGAAGCTCTTCACCCGTTAGTGGAGGAATGTCTCTTTTCTAGATTTCAGCTGGTCTTAGGTAGTGAGGTATTAAAACAACCAGATTTTTGAATCTAATATTTTTTGTACCTAACATGCTGAAATAGAACCAGAGGGCTGCAATTCAGATGAATGTTTTCAGTGCCTATCCAAAGTTCTACTTTAGATGCCTAAAGGCTCTCTGGGATGTGGCCTTTTTTGCTATTGCAGTTCAGTTCATAGCATTAAGGAATCAGCTGTCAATGAAAGGTGACACAACTCACCTCTGAAGACAGTTGAATTGTCTGTTTTGTGCAGAACCTATACAACAAAATCAGACAAAAGGATTTGTTTCCCTCATAAGGTGTTGATGCCAAATCTTTGAGATTTTCCTTGAGAAGGAAGCATGTGTGACACCACCACTAACCATGTAGACAGGAGATTGAAGGTGTCTGTCCAAAATGTGCATGCAAAGGATGTAGAGGATAATTATTGACACTTTTTTGGTGTAGTTTAATTTGCTAAATTCAGTAGTTGCTAAAGTTGCTGACAGCTCTGTGTAGATCTGGTATGTAAATGTGCACACAACTCAGTACAAAAATTATTATGGTTAATTCTTTGTTCACAAATACTAATTTTTGGTGATGAAGACTACCTTCTGTCCTAAGGTGTATAAGATGATTTAGCCACACAATAAAGGGGAATGTCAATAATATGAAAATGGAAATTGTTTACAGAAATAATTGCAACTTATTCTGTGACATTCTTTTGAAGGGAAAAACTGTATATTTTAAAGACTTTTGCAATGATATTGCTTTATGCTGTATTTTTAATCTATTCACAATGAATAAATAAAAATAAGTATTTTTTAAAAACATGAAAATAAATCTGAGGCTCAGCCTGCCAGAACTTACCTGGGTTCAGTGTTTCCAGATGTCAGTGGGAATATTGCTTGGGTAAGGACAGTGAGATGGAAGCCTTTGTATGTCAGACAAGCAAATACTGCTTGCCTGTATCACTTAGTCCTCTCATTCACTTTGTCTGGGTTCATTCTGGCTAGTCAATAAAAATGTTCTTTTTGTCACTTTTCTCAGTAGATTTTTTACTCATTGCTGTGGGAGTTTGCTTTTGTTTTGTTTGGTTTTTTTCTTTATAAATTGCCAAAAATTCAATCCTACTATTGCAAGCTTCCAGAAATCCTCTGTGTTGTTATTGTGTCATTCTATTCCCGATTTCATTCCCTTTCAACAGTCAGAAGTAACTAACTGGGAGGAAATTATTAGATGTGTAGCAACAAAATCTGTTTTCCTCCAGAAAACAAAATGGTTGATGTACTCTGATTTGCATTTGATTACACACATAGTGTCTGTAACCAATGGAGTATAAAATATAAGGACTGGAGGGATTACTTCCAGGGTGCTACAGAGGCCTCCCTATGCCTTTAGCTTTTGTTTAGTCCTGAGAATGGGCTGGAAATTGCTGGGCTCTGTGATTTGAGGTGGGATACAACATCTAATGATACAATGTCATTTTGCTATGATTTCCCTTTCTGTGCCAGAATAATCTGTTTGATACAGGCCCTTTCAAACTGTTAAAAGGGAGCTCTTGTTGCTTTTTTATGGCTTTATTTAGATAGATGGAACTTCTTACACCTGTGTAGTTTAAACAGGGTGAAATTATCCTCTAGCAAAGGCACTGTGAAATAGCAGTATTTCCTAACAAAAAAGCACCATCTGGGCCTTTTCACTGTAGAATCACTAAGATGAAAAATGGTGAAAATTGGCACTGCTCTACCTTTGTAGACTGTGTAGTTTTTAGATATAGCTGCTGTCACAGAGATGGAGTGTTTGGCAAGTGTAACAAAGTAAGAATAGCATTCTTCAGAAACCATGGAGACAGCAAACTCTTATAGCTTATAAAGTGTAAATAAGTATATTGCCTGTTTCTTAATTACTGGTCTTGTGGGACTAATTTGAATCTCACTCTCTTCTCCACAGATGTAATTTCACTCAGAGTAGAATGAGTGCTGACAGAGCCAGGTGTAGTTATGATGAGTCAAATCAGGACTTCTCATCTGAATTTGGACAGGTAGAATTTCATTTGAACCTCTCAGGATGTTTGCAGGGCAGTGCTGCCAGGGGTGAGTCAGGGTATTTTCAGGTTTAAGTTCAGGGATATCTCTCAGTTGCTCCTGCCGATGGACCTGACTCCTGTGTGGGAACAGCTCAGGGCTTTGTAACCGTTGGGCCTGGCCCTTAGTCTGGGAGTGTTTGGTACAAGTGTTGGGTGCTTGCTGTTCTCTGGCTGTTCTGTGCTAGGAAAACAATGTAACAATCTGGTAGCTTGTGTTATAGTTTGAGTTCTCCTCTACATTAATTATATTTTAATTTTGAAAAGGTTCTGTCATTGTAACTGATGTTGCACAGGTGAAATTAAAAAACTGGTGACCAAACTGCCAGCTCCGAGTGACAGCCTGTGCTCTTATCCCCTGTCTGTGTCATACATGGCTGATGTGAATAATCTTGAGTACACAGGCTTCCCTCAGTACTCAGGAGAAATGTCTCTTTGGCCAGGCACAGAAACATTTCAGGGACAGAAGCTGAGCTCAGCTTTGACAGGGCAGCAAAGCACTTTTCAGGAGGGTGTCGGTACCTTGCGCTGCCAAAAGGACCTGTGGGACTGAGCAACCTATGCAGTGAGGAACAGATTGTATTAAGTGTTCCATGCAGCCTCCTGTACACACACACACTTGGAGACTGATAAAACTGACTCTTTCCCTGAACTTTTCTGCTTGAGCAGGTTACAGGTGATTTGCTGTATGAAGCCAATTCAGGTCTGCCTATGTTCTCTGCTCCTTTAACCTGTCCTACTGCTCTGCGGTCGGCTCCCTCTATTCTTAAAAAACCCCACATCCTGAAAAGGCACTGAACTGAGGGTGTGAAACTGCAGCAGCACTAGAGGAGTTTATTCATGCTCACATGTGTGTGCTGTTATTCCTTAGTACTTGTAGGCAGTGAATGAAATTTTTAGCAATACTGTGCAATGCTGCAGCTTCTCACAATGAGTGGTGAAACGCTAGCACAGGTTGCTCTGAGGTGGTGGATGTCTTATCCCTATAAACATTCAAGGTCAGGTTGGACAGGGCTCTGAGCTACCTGATCTAGTTAAAGATGTCCCTGCTCACTGCAGGGGGTTGGACTATCAGACCTTTTTTACACACTTCCAACCCCAACCAAACCATGATTCCATGTTCAGCAGCTCCCTGGAAAGAGCTGCTTGTGTTGCAGGGCCAGGCTGTGGGAGGTGCCAGGGAAAAGGGTTGAAAGATGCTGTCAGCAGGGCTCCAGCAGGTTTATTTTCTCTATCCTATTTAAATGAACTGCCACAAGAACAGAATTAAATCAAGCTGCATTAAAGCTTTGCGGCCATAGGGAAGCTATGAGCTTCTAGAGAAGCTAGAATTTTTATCCAAATACAACCTTTCAGTTGTAATTAAGTGGTGAAAATAACGTTAATTCTTTAAGAAAACTCACCAGACTTTCAGGCAAAATGCGGCCAGAGACTCCCAGGGGCACGTTTATGGAGCACCAGCAGCTGAGGTGTGCTACCACCCCTTTGCAGAAGTGTACTGAGTACTGCCGTGCTGGTCCCTGTGCTATCAGCAAAAGAACAACCCCCCAGTCATAAACTGCTGACTTTTGACTTCGCAAATTCAGTGAGCTGTGGCTTTGCAACGGAAAATTAGAATTTTAGAACATTTTTAAGCTTTCAGAAGGGGTGCTCCGGCTATGCCGCGCGTACCGCGCGGACTGTGCTGCTCCGTGGCATCCACGTGGCAGCGGGCGCGGCGCGGAGGGCTCGGACACAGCTACTCCCTCTCGTCCGTCCCTCCGAGTGCCGCTGCTTGGAAACGGGCTGAAAAGGACCCATCGCATTTATTTTTCGGGTAGAAGGGGTGTGTGGGCACAGCGCTTGCTGGGGATGGAGAAAAGTAGAAAAGAGGGAAAAAAAAGCTGTTCTGAAGTAAAAGTGTCGCCGAAGGAAAGACGACAGCACGGCGGTAGCGTGGCCGAGCGGTCTAAGGCGCTGGATTAAGGCTCCAGTCTCTTCGGGGGCGTGGGTTCGAATCCCACCGCTGCCACCAGAGTTTTTTTGCGCCGCGGGTCGGCGCCATCGCCCCCTGGCGGCGGCGGCGGCCGGGAGAGCATTGTGGGTAGGAGGAGGTGCCGCGTCCCCACGTGCCGGCCCGGGGGCCACCAACATGGCGGCTGCCTGACCGCTGCCCCGCCGCCACCGACACGGGGAGCGGGGGAGCGCCGCCGCCCGCCCGGCCGCACACAGGTACGCGGGGCCGCTCTGCTTTTCCGCCTCCCGGGGCCGCCCCGGCGCCGGGGACGCTGCGGGTGTTGGCAGGGGAGGAGCGCGGCCTGGGCTGGGGTGGGCTCTGCTTTCCGGGGAGGACGGTGGAGCCGAGCCTGCGAACACTCGGTACCGCGGGGGCAGCGGGGCCGCAGCGCCCTGACAGGACCCGGCACGGGCCGGGGCGCTTGGAGGGGCGGGCGAGGTCCAGCCGCAGCCGCGGCCCCTCGGCTCCCGCAGCAGCACCGGGGGGCGCCGGCCGGTCCTCCCGGCGCTGCGAGCGGCGGCTCCGCCGGTCCTCCCAGGGCCCGCAGCCCCGCGCCTTCCGCCCGGGAAGGACTCAGCGCACCCGCTCCGATGTGCAGCTGCTGCCCCTGCCTTGGACCGGCTCTGCGGGGCTCCAGCCCAGCCCAGCTGTCCCGCCTGGGGGGATTCGCTTGGTCCCCGCGGTCAGGGCGGGTTGGCTGGCTCACTGTGGCCTTTCGGCGGGGCCCCTTTCCCCGCACTCCTGCGCTGCCAGGCTGCTGTGTCAGGGGAGGCGGGCACCCGGAGCACGGAGCCGCGTCCGGCGGGGAGCGCTGCCCGCAGGGAGCACGGGACGGGCACCGCGACCCTGCCTGGGAGTGTCACAGCGGCGGGAGTGACCCCTGCCCCCGGCCGGAGTGACCCCTGCCCTTGGCAGCACAGGCCTGACACGTCCTGCGCTGCACACATGTTGAGGTGGTAAAGAAGGGTTTATGCTTCATGCATAATCTGTTAAACCCCAAAGGTTTGCTTCAGTGACATCACCTCCAGAGAGAGGTCCTGGTGCAAAGGAGCCCTCTTGGGTTCACTGCCAGAAGATGACTGTGCAAAGCTGCTTGCAGACGAGGAGAAAATGAAGCAAGTAATGGGGTCACAATGATAATTACCATCAATGCATGGAAGGTGCTTCAGCTTCTTTTTGCAGCTTCCATTTTACTGTGTGCCATGAGCCACCCTGAGTGAGAGGATTGCTCAGAGTCCCTTCTAGAGGAGCCCGGGTGCCAGAGTTAGTTGTGGTCATGATTCAGGAGATGGCACTTTTCCCATGGTGCTGTTTCAGCACTTATACTTTTAGGCACTGATCCAGCAGGAATTCTTGGCCTTTCCTTGGCAGTGCATGATTATATGAAGAATATTTCAGGTTTCGGTGTTAGCACTTTGGGGGTCCATTATTAGTGAGAAATTTAGGTAAAAATGAAATACTGGAGCATTTCTTGCAGGCCTGATAAAAATCTGTGTGTCAAATGATGTGCAGGTTTGTAATTTACCTTCTTATTGAATGTCCTGGGGTGACTTTATGATACTGGTATCTCCAATCGTCTGGTTTATGTTATATATTAAGTTCTGCACTTTTAAGACTAGCTTTGAGAGCAAGAGAGGGGGAAGAAGAAGCGCGCAGTTTGTGTTAAGGAAAAACATCACTCATTTGGTAGTAAAATAAAATTAAATCTCTAATACTCAAATGCTCTTCTAAGCTCAGAGTGAGATGCAGCATTTGCTTCATCACTGATTTTTACAGTTCTTTAACCACAACATTTTTCTTCATTGGTTTTACATTGATGATGTTTTGGGCAGCTAATGAGCAGTTTCATGGATTGGTCCTTGCATTAGTCGCTTTGCAGGAGAAATGAGAAGATTTATATCTCTTGCCCTCCTGCGAGCTAATAACTCATACTAATAACTCGCATTATACTTTGACTTGCACCTTAAGGGAAGGTCTGTCCCTCTTAAAAGAAAATGGTTCTACCAAAAGAAGTTTGAACCTGCTGACCATGTTTGCTGTCTCTTAATGTTTGATTCCATTCTGTAACTCTTGTGGTATCATAAATATATGTATATGAGAAATGTGGAAATTAACACCACTCTATGTATGTGTATGTATCAGACATAGGATTGTGTCTGCATGCCTTCATTCTGATTCAGAGGATTTCTTCCAGTTGCATGGGTACTATAACTTGTGCTGGGACACACTGCTTCCTATTTATAGATGTGTCAGTCTCACTTTCCAGTAAATGGATCTGTAGTCATGCTTTGTCTTTACAGGACTAGGAAAAAAATGTGGTTTCTGTAATAGAGCAGTTCCCCTGAGTAGTGACAGGTGGATTCACAAAGAGATTTTGTGTATAATTGCATAAGCAGTGTTCAGTGAGAGACCAGAGACCAAGTTCTTCAGGCTAAGTTTTCTGTACCTCCTTAGCCCAGGAAATCTTAATTTCTTTTCTCAAAAATGTAATAATTTTCTCAGAAGAGAGAGACCAAGCCTAGCAGATACTTGGCGTGCAGGCTGTCAGGAAGGGAAGGGTGGGTCCTGGTTCTCTCAGGGGTATGAGGAAGGAGGGTTTGGACCCAAGTGTCCCACCTTTAGGGTGTTACTACATGTCCTGACACATCTTGGGCATCCTCCCACCATCAGCTCTGTGCTGAGTGCAGACTGCAGTTGTTCCATGTCTGCAGAGCTGTCAGGTGTTGGGCCACCCAGGGACATGAGCGGGGAAAGCAAAAATGGAACTGACAAACCTCATTTCTTTAAAACATACTTGTGTGTATTTCTGGGAGGAACTGGGTGCCTGACAGAAGACACTGATATCAGTCAGATATCACATACTCAGGGTTTTGCTCACAGCTCAGCCTGTGGTTAAGGTACTGGCTTTTTGCTGTGAAGGTGTTCTACATTTCTACAAAATTATTTCAGATAGGAATCTGAAATACTAAGTCACAAATTTTCAAATACATATGTATGGTACAAAGACCATGGGTTATGCTGGTGAATAAAGAAATGGAAGATGCCAGCTCAGTATTGGGAGGGCTACTGCTACTTTTTTGGTAGCAGAGAGTCTGTAAGTGACAAATGCAGAATTACATTTCAAGGTGGAATGGCAGAAACACTGTAAGCCTGAATGAATGTTAATAACACTTGTATCCAGAATGTCTAGCCTCTCTGAAAGGTTTCTTAGGTAGCATATGTGTGCATTAATGTGATATTTGAGAAGCCTATGTCAGCTGAAATATACTGAGCTGCCTAAATTGTGTGATAGCTTGAGTATTTGAAAAAAATGCCATAGTTCTAGATGTAACATGGATGCTGGGTTCCTTCTTTCCCAGCTGCTTGGTTCCAGCTGATCCTGCATGCTGCTTGTTTGTCTTTCTCTTCCTCCATAGGAGGTCCAGCAAAGAAGCAAGTTGTCCTCAAGGAGGGAGGTTCCTGAACACATATCTTGTTTTGTTCCCTGATCAACTTTGTTTCTAAGATTTTCCTTGGTCAGTTTTGTGAGAGGTCTTATTTTTTTATGCCTATCTCTGCCAGTATTAGCTAGTTAACAGTGTCTTAACATAGTTGCAGTGGCATCCCAAATAATTTGTAAATCCTTTTGTTTGATTTCAGCAGGGAAAAACTATTGTTGCTTTAGCTGAGAGATTATTTTTTATTCAGAGGTCTGAACCAGGCACGAGACTGACTCCAGCACGGGAGTGAACATAATGAACTTTTGTTCCAGAGTATCCAGTCCTCAGTTAATATCAGTCTTATTTATATTGGAGTTGGTGTAGTTATGAGGAAGAATCTGCTGTTCTGCTGGTTTCAGAGGGCTCCAGAAAAGGATGATGTTCTGGAGCTCTCATTTAGCAGCACAGTCTGAAGAGTGGCAGGTCAGGAGACAAGGCTGCACCTTGTCAGGGAGATGAAATCAAAGTCAGGGTATTCCCAGACTGAAATATCCAAAGCAGTGACGCTGCAGGGCCAGTTGCAGCTGGAAAATAGCTGCTACCTGTGCGTTACTGTTACACAGTGTAAAAAAGATACATTTTATGCAAGTGCAAAAGGCCGTCTTTCCCTCCCTAGGGCGCTGGTTCAGGGCTTTCTTAATAACTGCAGCTTCCACAGAAATTACAGCAGTTTACCTGTTTTGAGACATTTGCTGGTCTCAATAATTTTGTGGCCTTCAGTCAAGATTGTGGAGTATCAGGCAGCTGTTCATGCAAACACATACATTCCTTCAAAATGCAGACTAAACAGATTATCACTGAAAGGAACCAAGTTAACTTGAACAATGCTCTAGGCTGCATGTGGTATGTGACACAGATGAAATCATTCATATGACATTCCTGTTTTCTTTCAGGTTGTGCCAAGGAATAAACCAAGAAAAAGCTTTGTTTTATCCTAGCATGGCAAATGAGGAAGATGATCCAATTATACAAGAGGTAAAAGTACATTGTGACAACAGTGATTGTACATGAGAATTTTTTATTATTTTTATTACTACAATTCCCAGTGTTCCTACATTGCTGAAACAATGCATCAGCAGCATCAGAGGTTGTCAGTGGTTGTTGTGCTTTGTACAGCACCGGCTACAATGGCTGGTGCTGTACAAAGAATTATGTTGTGTGGGCCAAGTATGTGGCTTATGGTATCTGTTTTGTCAGAATAGCCTTGTCTATGTTGGCAGATGCAGCTCAGGTGTTTCACCCTTTGTAATCTGTCCATAGCAGAAGAGAAAGTGGGGAATTTGCTTCTACCATTGTGTGCTTCCAGTGAACTCCTTTGCTTGTCTCTGGAAGCTGAAAAAATCGGAATGACTTTGAGGAGTTAATATCTGTTAAACATGAATCTACAGTGTTCATGGCTTCTGCTGAAGTAAGGAGTAGTGTTCTGAGTCTGGATTACTTTAAATCCAGACTGCTGTGTCCAAGAAGTAACCATAGTGTCTTTGTCACTTGATATCTGAGTTTACACACCAGAAGCACAAGGAAGGGCAAGTCCATAGAAGGTGAAAAGCCATGAGAAAAGGAGTGGCAATTGTCAGGAGTGTATCTGAAATGGCAGCTTCCATATGTCTTATTCATGAAACATCTGTGCATTTTCAGTTTTGATGGCCAAATGCAAGTGTTGAACCAGCTTGAGGATGTGGGCGTCTCTTGTCTAACTTAGAAAGATTTTATGCCAAAATACCAGTAACCAACTTACCTTTCAGTCGTGCTGCCAAACCGAGAACTTCCTCCTCTTTCTATAATTGTGATAACAGATTTGCTTCAGATCCTTGGAGGAAAAATGTTCCTTTTTCACATTTGTTTGCCAAGTTTCCTTAGAGAGGAAAAACACAGATAGAGCCACTGTCTACTGCCTCTTTGTAATGGGATTTTTAGGTTTGATTTTTAAAAAGGCCAACGCGTCAAAATCAGCAGAAATGATACTTTTGACAGGAGAGTCACGAATCTGTTTTATATTAGAGTTCATAATGAAAAGCTAATGCCAGTATTTGAGCTCTAAGGGTTATACTTTTATTACAGCTGGCATCTGATGAAAGTTACTTGTTTTGCTTCTTAGATTGACGTATTCCTGGCCAGAAGTCTACTGGAGAAGCTCTATCTGTTTCAGGTATTTCAGTTAACTTTTATGCAGTGATAATTGGTTTAAAATAAATGCAGAAAGTGTAACTTAATGCTTCAATCTGCCAAAGTCTTGGATATAGAGAGCCTGTTTGGGTCTCAGTTTGGAGGCAGGAGTGAAGCTGGTTGGTGATGGGGCCTGTGGGTGTGCTGGAGACCTGGCAGCCTTAGCAGGATGCTGCTGTGGCTGGGGGATTTCACTGGGATACCACACTGTCCTCTCAGCATTCCCAGAGGGCTCAAAGAGAGACCTTTGTGGCTAAACCTGGGTCTGCTCTCTTGATCAGCAACATGTGGCCTGAACTTTCTAAGCTAACATTTACTTGTAGAAACCCACAGATATTTTACTTCTAATAATTCTACAGAGAGTCAATGCTTAGAGATAAGGGTTTCTTTTTCTGCTGGACTAATGTGTGGGACAGTTTTCCTGTGTTACAGGTTATTGTGGTGTGTGAGGGGCAAGAAGGGGGTTGTCAAGTGACAAAAGCAGAGGGCTGGGAGGAAAACAACAGACTTTCTGGGTCATGCTCCCAAATCCCCTGATGACTCACAAATCAGTCAATTAATGTCTTTTCTTGATGTCTTGTCTCTGAGATCTGGCAAGTGGATCTGCATGTGAGGGGACAGGGGAAATTGAGTTAATTTCTGTGAAATTCTTTGATCTTTAAAAGAAGAGGGGTGTATGAAATTACCTGTTTTCCAGTATCCCATTCGCCCAGCTTCCATGACCTACGATGATGTTACACATTTATCAGCGAAGATAAAACCAAAGCAGCAAAAGGTTGGTCATCATTGAGTCCAGTCTGTAAAAGTTTTTTACCTAAGAAAAGCACACTGTGTTGTTGAGCTGTTCTAACCATGCAGCTACTTGCAGGACCAGATACCTGTGCTTGAAGGTATATGAAGATTATTTTATTGTGTCTGTAAGGTAGAGTTTAGAATAAAAGTGGTTTATAAATCATGGTGAGAAAGTGACTTAATAGAAAACAGAATCACTCAGGGAAATGTATTTACTAATGCTAATTGAATCTGTGGATGCTTGTGTGAGAAGAGCTTGAATTAAAAGGTTTTTACAGTATTCAGAGAAGTGTTGAAGAAGGATTGAGCCTTGGAACCATCCTCTGTCTTTCAGTGCAAGTCCTGATTTCTCTCTTGCCTGTCAGTGAATCAGGTGTCCTTTTGAAATCACTGGGGCAGTACAGGTAAAGTGTAACCAAAGCCAGAGTCATTACACTTGCTTGCAAATGTATCCCAGAACTCTGGCTATTATTTTACAATGTCTTATTTAAAAATTGCAGCAGTAGATGTCTGTGTTAGTAAAATTTGCTTCTGGGAAATGGTTAAAGGAAGTGCTTTGGTGAACTTTGGAGTTAGAATGCATGTTGTGCTCATGAAGTCTTTTATTAAATTCAGCAAACATTTGCACTGTAAGCCATGTGCAAATCTTTGTAAATATGCTGTCTCATCCAGGGACTTGAAACTAATTCAGTTTATGAATAACATAAAGGGAAACTAAAAATAAGACGGTAGCTGGGATACACAAATTTATGTTGGTCTTTCAGGGCTTTGACACACCCTGAAGAAGAATATGTGTTGTATTGTCATAGTATATAAATAGAAATATTATGCAGGAGAATGCTTATTTTTGGACATTTGTCTGAAATTTAAAGTTGAAGTAGGGGGGAATAGTTCTTATAACTAAAGATTTGGAGCTTGTCACAGTGCTCTGACAAGTGAAAGTCAGGAGTAACTGAAGTCAGTGCTAAGTACTGCAGTCTTGAATTTGCAGAATTGAGGCCTTTGCCTCTGAAGAGGACAGAGGTACTTTGTATTCTTGGTAGCTGAACTAGAAGGAGACCCATCTTATGAGAGACTCTGAATGGTTCCTAGGTGATGGTGAGGCTTGAAGGAGGTTGCTTGTGCACCTGATCTGTACTGATAAGTAAGTTAGACTGATAGTGTCATGGAAGGAATCCAGCAAAGTGAATATGTATTTCAGGGCTGCCTAAAGAACTCTGCTTTTTCTGATCCCATTCATGTACATGGGAGTTTATGTATCTCCAGCTTGTAGTTTAAATGACCTCACTACCAAACCCATCTATGTGCTGTTCAACTCTGTGTGAGATTTGCCCTGTGGATTTGGATGATGCTGCTTATGTACTTAAACTGGCTTTAAACCTGTGGAAATGTTTAAAAGTGTGGGGTTATATTTTAATTTATATGTTTGGGGTTGTGCCATGGTAATTAACTGTCTTTGCCTGATATTCTTTAGGTTGAACTCGAAATGGCCATTGATACTTTGAATCCTAACTACTGTCGCAGCAAGGGAGAGCAGATCGCTCTCAACGTGGATGGCACATGTACAGATGAAACAAGCACCTATTCCTCGTAGGTGTCCTCTTTGCCTTCCTTTCCTTTTTGGGCTGAGCACAGGTATCTGTGTGTCAGTTACAGAGGCTGCTTTGGACACTCTTCTTTAGCAACTATTCTCGAGGGTAACCTACATTTTTTGGGGTGCATCATGAATTCAGATTTGCAGACAGAAGTGATGGATATTTGTCTGGTGCAGTTGTTGAGAATCCATTTTGAGAACTGATACTTTCAGACTTTTGGCACGTGCATGCCATGTTGCCTGTGGAATGCCATCTCACTGTCCTTGTCTGTCTGCAGGAAGCTGATGGACAAGCAAACTTTCTGCTCTTCCCAAGCTGCCAGTAATGTTTCCCGCTATGCAGCTGCTGTTTATAAAAAAGGTAAATTTCTTTTGCTTAATCCTCACATCAGTGAAACATACTCATTTCAGTGTTAAGATAAGACTTATTTTATTTATTTTTTTTTCCAGCATAGGTTTTAATTGACTGATGGGCCTTTAAAGAAAGGAGAATTTTCCCTTATCAATGTCCCAAGAGTCCTTGAGTAGGTCTAGCAAAATTGTAAATATTGTGTAAGAACACTCTGGGTTTGTAGATGCCTTCAGAATCTTAACAGTTCATGATGGCCTGAAATAATACGCACTTGTAGCATGAAATCATCATTATAATTTATATTGTTTTCTTAATCTCATTTTTTCTGTCTTGTTTTCCTGTTCAGCGCTTTTTGTGCCTCTCTTGACTGCCCAGGCCATCACAGTTTTGGTCTGGTGGTCATTTGAGATGACAACATGCAGATTGTTTTCAGTAATGACTATTTTACTAGGTGTCTTCTGGACTATGGTTCAGGCCAGTGCCAGAATGTGACTCTCTACAAGATCTGATTTCAACACAAAAGGCAAAATAACAGAAACAGGTCTTGATTTTTCATATTCCCTTGAAATCCTGAGCACTGGATGAAATTTTCACTTCAGTCCCTTTCTACGTTTTGCTGTATTAAATATTTATGCTCAATTGAAGCTGTGGCTTTACAGAGACAGGGAAATAATGAAAAGTTGTGTCCTTGTGCAGTGGAAAAAAATCAATTTTAACCAACATTAATTCTTTTTTTCAGGTGAACTTCACTTGACTCCACTACATGGAATTCTTCAGCTGAGGCCAAGCTTCACCTACTTGGACAAGGCTGATGCAAAACACAGAGAAAGAGAAGCTGCTAATGAAGGTAAATTCTCCACAGTTGTGTTTTCTTAGGGGAGGTGAGATACAAGTTCTCTCTATAATGTGGCTGATAAGAGTCATTCGTTTTGAAGGTGTTTATTCTAATAACACAGTCATTATTAGGCCATTTCACAGAGGGATGGGAGGTGTTAGGTAGTGACAAAGGTAGTGGTAAGGACTGTGTCACCACTGCCACGGGAAGGATCATGGGAACAGAGTGTCCTATCACAGGAGCAGTGTGCTGCTGTCATATATGGCATAGTTTGGCAGGCTGGGGTTGAACCCATGCATTTGGAGTTCAGTGTCCTTTCTTCCTGCATGGGCCCCCAGACTGGATTTGGCTCTTTCACTGCACTGGTGTGTTTATTTTTGTGTCTTCTGGCAGGTGGTGATTCATCCCAGGATGAAGCTGAAGATGATGTTAAACAAATTACTGTAGGTCCACATTTTCCTTTTTATGCCAGTTCAGGCAACAGTTCACAAGAAAGCTTGACAATTGAGAGTGAAGTGAAAGGACAGCAGACCTCAGCTACTGACCTGGGCTTGGGTGGGGGAGGCCAGGTGGACTCACCTTGTTGCACAGGCATAAGGATGGCACTGAGAGCAAGGGGTGATTCAGTGTAGCTAGGGCCCCTAGCTTGTTACTGGTACACCAAATCAATAATACAGGTGGGTTTTTTCCAAGGGTTTTAGGGCTGTATTGAATGATGCCCAAATCTTCTAGGTCCGATTCTCCCGCCCTGAGACCGAACAAGCTCGACAGCGACGTGTTCAGTCCTATGAGTTCTTGCAGAAGAGACAAGCAGAAGAGCACTGGGTTCATCTGCATTATTATGGCTTGAAGGTAGGTGTGTGCTGGCTCCTGAGGAGGCTGCCTGGGCCTGAAGGCTAAACCAAGTCCAAAATTGTTTTTAGATCCGGACCCATGGGAATCAGGGAATCATCAAAAGATAATGAAGAAGAGGAGGTCTGTAGGCTGGAACAGACCCTGCAGTGCTCTGTATCTCCTCTGCTGGATAATGCTTTGGGGTCTCCACACTTCAAAACTGAGAGCTGGAGAAAAATATAGGGGGGCAGGGCGGTGGTTCTGAATGTAACAGCTTCGGTCTTGGACTATAAACTGGACTTTCTGAAAGATTTGTGAAAAACCCATTCAGTCAGGTGTGAGAAATCCTGTTTGGCTGGCTGGTGCATGTCTGTCAGGAGGTTTCAAAGGCACAGCAAGGGAAATGTTCCCACATCACGTCAGCATCATACAAGGAAGTGAAAGCAGAACATCAGTTAGTGAGGTGGAACACTTGAGTGGTGTAATGATGGCAGGGTGGTCATAGTTTGGAATGAGAAATCCAGCTCTGGCATTTTGTATGTTTTCAGTATGTGATAATGACTCTTGTTTTTTCCCTATCTCCAGGATAGCCGTTCTGAACATGAGCGCCAGTATTTATTTAGTCAAGGTCATGGCCTTGCTGAAAACACTGAATTAATTAAAACTCCCAGGTAATGTTATATTGGTTTCCTACAGAAATTGCATTAATTTAGTTTGGATTGTTTTCAGAGTAGTAAGCAGGTATATTCTTTAAAAATCTGCTCTTTGAAAATCTTATTCATGGTAAAAGTTGAATTGTTTAAAAAATACGGAAACAAACTAGCTTTCATCTTATTGAGGTTGTTTTCTTTGTTTCCCTATACCCTTGAGATTAAAACCTCTTGTTTTTACTCAGGATTGTAGCTTCTTGTATGTTATCACAACCCTACATTATTTGGACTATGAATGCTGCAAAGAAAAATCAAAACAAAAGCTTCTTCTGGTTAATATAAATTAATACTCTGAAGCCAATAACTTCCATTGTTAGACAATCTTATTAAACTTCCCTTTGTGATTTGTGGGGACTGAAACTACTTGAAAGATGTGTCTGTTTCTTGGTGACTGCAACTCTACAGAAGCCTCCCATAATGCAGTCAGTGCTTCCCTGTTATCTGGGACAGCCATGGCCCAAGTGATAGTGAAGTGGAAGAGTCTGGCTCTGGTTAATGGTTGTGGGCATGTTTTTCTTAACATTTAACATCAGTAAATCAGTGGAAAGTGTTCTGAAGAGTCTTTTGGATCTGATTCTTTCTCACAGACACTGGTAATTGCATAGGTGGGACAGAAATTTTGCTTTTTGCTGGCCTGATTTTCTCTGTTTGTGGGGTTTTGCATGACCCTGCTGATGGCTGATAGAGCACCTGTGTTTTATGTATTTCCTTGTGCAGATCCTCTGTTTGGGCACCTCTGCTGTACAAAAGAGCTGGGATTGATTGCATACTCTGTCTTTGGGCAGATGAATGTCAGTAGCTTTTACTAGTTCTGAGGAGATGGGAGTGGAAGGGAGAGTTCTTTTCAGGCTGATGTTTGTTTTGTAGCAGGTTTACTCTGAGAAATTACTTAAATCTGCCAAGTCCCAAGACAAGCATTTTAAATAATGTGTTTTCTTTTCTTCTAGTGAATATTTAATGATGCTGATGCCTCCAAGCGTAGAGGAAGAGAAGTAAGTGTTTGTACATAATGCAAAGTCCACAGGAGCTGAATTCTCTTTTTCATGGGCTGAAAATCTGTTTGTTTATCTGCAGTAACAAACCAATGGCTCCAAGCAACGTGCTTTCTATGGCCCAGCTGAGAACTTTACCCCTTGCTGATCAGATCAAGATCCTGATGAAGAACGGTTTGTAGCTTTTGTAATACATTTGCGCTTCACTTTGTGACTTCTGGTTGCCTCAGCTAAGGTGCCTTCCCCAGTATCACTAGTTCTGTCACCCTATCAGACAGACTGGCTGTCTGATTCCCTGAAGAATCTAAATCCCAAGCCTTTCCCTAAAAAGAGCAGTGACAGCTGATCTGACTGTTGATACACTTGCCATCAGTTTACTCTTAGAAAAATTTCTAATTTGATTATAGCTTTCTGGATACACTTATTTCAGCAAGTATCTCCTGAAATGTGGAGTCTGAGCACATACAGCCTGCACTTTGGCGTTTTCTGGGAAGTTTTTAACCATACACACTTCATGAGTGTCACATAGGAATTTTATTTTGTCTTGTCAAGATTACTCTCTGATAAGAGCAAATCCTGAGGATTTTGGCTCAGGACTGTCCTGCCTTGTCAGGTGCATCTGCTTACAGATATTGCCAAAGGTATATATATATATTGTTTTCTTTTTAATTATTGCTTTATTAATACCTTAATTAGTGACCATTCAGCCAATCGATTCTGCTGCAACACTGGCAGACACTTTCAGAACAGGTGATGCCTACAGCACAGGAGCGTAAAACCGACTAAAACTAAGGCTTTCTTTCTTTCTTTCCCCAAGATAACCCTTTGCCCGCGCACACCCTGAATCCCCGTTCCTGGGTGTGCGAGTGGCCTCTGTGACGCTGTGTTTGCCTTGCAGTGAAGGTGATGCCGTTCGCCAACCTGCTGAGTCTGCTGGGCTCGGGCACCGACCCCACGGCCGTGCTGCGCTGCGTGCAGCAGGTGGCGCTGCTGGTCCAGGGAAACTGGGTGGTGAAGAGGTACGGCCCGCCTTTGTCCCCGGCACCGCTCCGGGACAGCCCCGGCACCGCGGGCTCCGTGTGCCCACCCTCGCGGCCCAAAACATCCCAGCTCCCAGCTCTGCAAACCTTTGGCTTTGGGTTGTCTGCGTCTCGGTGCAGTCAGCTATTCCACCTCCAAGGGCTGCTGTGAAAGGATAATGCCTTAGTACCTGTCCCAAGTGGGATTATGGCTGAGCAGTGATGTAATCTGTGTTTGCATCTGAGTTATGACAGGTTTTTGATCTGCACTCACGTTCTTTTGTGAGACAGCTGTTCTGAGTTCTTACAGAGATTAGCATCAAATAGAAACACAGAAAATTAAACCAATGTCAGCTATAGTATTTCTTAGCAAAATTTGGTCCTGTAAGGATCTCTGTGCAGTCCTGTTGCTGTTCATCAGTGGATGTTGCAGTCAGCTGAAAACTACCCTCTAGAAGGCATTACTCCATAAATGAAGCATGGGGGTACTGAGTGTACCACATGAATTGGAGTTTGTATCATCTTCCTGTTTATTAGGTTAGAGCATCCTATTGGGAATTGAAGTCTAAAATGCAGTATGATTTTTTTTTCATCTGGGTGGAGCCCTGCCTGCAGAGATTTACAGTCTGTGGAATAGCTGTGTTAAGATGAGTGGTATCAGCTGCCAGTCCAAGTGTGCCAGCAGGATGTTTCAGCTATTGTGGTACAGGCCTGTATTAACAATGTGACCAGCTTTTACAGCAACCCTGCTGTCCCTTCAGCTGTTACAGGAGGAAGCTGGGAGCATGTTAAAAGACAATATATTAGCATTCAGATTGTTCTTAGGTTATAACTGATTCTTTGCTGCCAGTCTGGGAAGGATGTGTGGATCTGTAGTGGATGGGGTGCTTGGGCACAGAGCAGCACACATCAGAGCTTTGAACAGAGTGGGGACCCATTTCTTTGGCCTGGGTAGGATCAAGATCATGAACCTGAGTTGCTGTGGGGCTTTGGAGAGCCTGGTAACACATGTCATCAGCTGGCCCTGCAAGCAAACAAGGTCACAGAGTAATGTTGGTCTTGAGGCTGTTGGTTCGAGTATGGAATTTTGTAATATTGTTCTGTTAAACTCTTGATTGCTGGGAAGGCAATAAAAAGCCCTCTTGCCTGTACATCAGCATTTTGCCTAAATGCTGCCTTCAAGGCTGCATATCAGGTTAGCCTAAGCACTTCTTAGGATCATTCTGGTCTTGTTTACACTGATCCAAGGGAGGGTAGGCTTTGCAAGAACAAAGCAGAGCTTGTAGCTGTGTTGCACACACCTGCTTGCCACAAGGCTGTGCTTTGCTGGTCTAAGCCTTTCTGTCCTAGTGTAATTGCAGTGGTGTAATTACACCAATTTTAATGCCTTTAATGAAAAGCATGCTTTGGATAAAGGTATAATTTAACTGCAGAACAGGGAGGGCATGTTTGTTATGTTAATCTTCACTAATGCCATTTTTCTGCAGTACCTAGTAACTAATTTCTCTTCCTTTTTAATTAACAGTGATGTTCTCTACCCGAAAGATACTTCTAGTCCCCATAGTGGAGTTCCTGCAGAAGTACTCTGTAGAGGGAGAGATTTTGTTGTAAGTATAAAAGTGTCTGTTGCTTTTAAAGGAAAGCACAGGTGAAGCTTGCCCAGGACACCACAGCATTGCAAAACTCTTCTGCTCTGCTGCAGTGAAGTGCTTCCTCCAAGGAAGTTGTTTGTGCTTTAATCCTGAAGGTGTTGTTTCAAGTCTGCCGTGGGAGTGTTGGTGTAGGCTCACATTGTGTCTGGCAGGTTCAGATCATCTGTCATTAGCAGCATTCTTCCTTTTCTCACACATGCTGTAGAGCACTATCACATTGCCCCCACAATGTGGGGCTTGCAGAACAGCCAGGACTGGATAATGAAGTGCTTGTTTCTCCAGCTCTATTTTCATGGGCTCAGGACTGAGGGCTCAGGAGGGCAGTGTGGGTAAGACTTGTGCTCCCTGAGCATGCACTGTTGATCTTTAAAAAGGACTTTATTCCCTAGGGCTGCTAATCAGTGAAAGGACTTTGTTCCCAGCCACCTTTTGTGAGCAGAGGCTGCACATGGACGTTGAAATGAATACGGGTCTTGTAAACACACACATAAGCACAGCAAAAAGGAACAACCTCTGCATTGTGTTTATTTTCACTAGCCATAGAAAGAATTAAGTTCCTAAGTGGTTTCTAAGTTCATAATCAGTTTATGGCTCCTGCCCCACCAGAGCAAATCTGATGAGTGCACAGTTCTCATTTTGTTTTAGTTAGACCTGACTGTTTTTGCAGAGTTTGTTCATGAAGTTTAGGTCTAAACAGTAGAATACTGTGCAAGAGACTTTAAGAGTATTACAGTAATACTGTAAGATCAAATTGATGGTGATTGAAACTGACTTCTCCTTGTCTCTTGATGTCTGCCCAAGACACTGCCATATGGAGACCTGGATTCAGGTGTGACCCAGTGACATAAGTGTTTAGGACACAGCAGATTAGTTGACACGTCATGTGTAAAGTTCAGGGACCAGAATTATTATGCTCAATAAAGTAAGTGATACGATTTTAATATTTAAGATGAAAAGATACATTATTTTCATTTGAATTATGTCAAATATACCTTCCATGAGGAATGCATCTGTGTTGATCTTAAAGGCAAATAATTTGCTGATTAATACCACAAGAAGCAAGAAGTTAAAATGTTAGAAAGAATCAATATTTCTGGCTTTCAGACAAAGAGAAATATCTGGTTTTAAGACTCAGAAATAGTATGTAATGCTGTATTGCATCTGTGGAGAAAATGTGTTCTAGCTTAAAAAGTGAACTTTATTTCCCTGGATATATTTGTGTAAAGTAATTAATAAGTTCAAAAAACATTTATGGATTTTTTGGGCTTTAAAATAGAAATGCCCTGTGCCCTAAAGTGAGTGGATTGGGTTTGTGTGTTTGTGGGCAGAGTGAAGCTGAACAGAAGAGAAGGAGGCATTGACGACGTCATAGGGCAGGAAGAAATTGTCAGTAATGAGATTTTGGATTCTTAACAACATTATTAGTACACACAGACTAAAGGAGGCTGTAGCTTATTTAAATGGAGACAGGAAGAAATGAAAGGTTGTGTTCAGGCAGTGTTCTGCCCAAGTCCTGTCAGCCTGCCCTCAGCAGCTGCCTCTCAGGATTTGGACCTCAGGAGCTGCTGTGCAGAGCACGTGGCTGTCCCCTACCTGGGGACAAGTGTGTGATGACAGGACATCTTGGCATCACTGTAAGTGACTGTGATGAGGGTGGAAGAAGGGAACAGGCACATTGTAGGGGCTCTGTGCTGCTGAAGGGTAGCAGTCACCAGCCTCCAGAGACCCCTGTGCAGGAGTGCATGGAGAGTATCTCTAGGCTGATGACGAGGTATGTGAGAAGCTGAGCCTCAGGTGTGATTTCTGGGGTCTCAGCATCACTGCAGTAGTTTTGTGTTGGTTTTGGTTTTGGTTTTTGGGGTTTATTTTGAGACTTAATGCAGTTTGAGTTCAAGAGATTCCTGATCACTTTTGTAGTCATAGGTTTGCCAAGGCACATCATGGAATCTCAAAGCTTTTGCTCCTGTGTTCATGGCTGTTTGAGGACAGAAGGAGCCAGAAAATGCTTTTCCTCCAGCTGTCTGAGAATCACTTACTTCTACATTCTTGAAAGGAACAGGGGTTCTATTTTTGTGGTAACATCATTGAACAGGGTCATTGCTACAACTTCAGTAAAACCACTGCTACATGCAGTTATTAGGTTTTCCTCTTTTGTTCCCTTCCTAGATGTGGAAGTTCACACAGGACCGCTGGGTTGTGAGAAAGGAAGTAGCAGCAGTTACAAAAGTGAGTGGATTCCTTTTCTTCCTAAATCCAAAGGTGGTGATAAGTTAGCCAAATGCTGCTGGGCATTGCGTGGGTGTAGGTAATGGATGCTGCTGCAAGCCTTTGCTCTCATAGTACCTGCTTTGCTCTCCATTTGGAAGGTATAGATAATACTCTGTCTAAAGAAAAACATTCTGAGCAGCTCTCACAAGTTTCCACAACTCCAAGACTGGCCTTGTAGCTGAGCCTTGAGCTGAGCTGGAATGTATCGTGTCCTCTCTTGTGTTTTGGTAGAAAGCTGGGCACAATTTCAATTGAGCTGACTTAAGATGCTTACACAGCCCACAGTAGCTGCTCTGCATTGGGTGTCTTAAGAGCAACTCTTCTGTTGGCATTTGCCAGTTACAATATTGAGTAAAAGCTTCAAAGCAACTCAAGCAACTGAATATTCTGTTAAAAGTGGCAAATGAATGAGAAACATTAAGTCAAAATGACAAAACCCAAATTCTTTAAAATGCACTAAAATGATAAAACATGAGTCAGTTTATGCACAGAACATCTATTTTTGGAATGTAAGAACCAGTGCTGCATAAAAGCTGGGTATGTGTAGGTGCAGCATGTCTGGCCTGCAGCTCTGAAATGAGATTAACATTGTAGAATATGCTTCTCTTCCCCATAGAGCCTTTTCATCTCAGTTTGGAAACTCCCTTTTCTTTGCAAAATATGCCGTGAGGAATTTGACTCTGGGGTGATTAATCACCACTGCTCTCTGAAGTCCTGGGCTTTTAGCTGTGTGTGAAAGTGTTAGTGCTGCAGAGCAGGATGAGTATCTCTGACTTAGCTGGGTGTGTGCCCACAGAGGTGCTCCATATACACCAAATCAGCCCAGCTCTCCTGTCTCATGCATAATGTTCATTGCTGTATCTGTCCTATATAAACTGACTTCCATGTTATTTATTCTTTTTCTTTTAGCTTTGCCCAGAAGATGTGAAAGACTTCCTAGAGCACATGTCTGTGGCAAGAATAAACAAAGGTTGGGAGTTCATGCTTCCTTACGATGAAGATTTTGTTAAGAAGCATCCAGATATCGTTCAGAGGCAACAGATGCTGTGGATGGGCATTCAGGCCAAGTAAATAGTTAACTGTATTTTGGGGAATAAGCTAAAAGCAAAGAACTGTTTAGTACAAAGGTTCTGTAGACACTGATAGATGATCTGATCTGTATTGCCTCCAAGTTTCTCCCTCACAGTGCCCAGGCAGTGATGTGGTGGGGGGTGTTACTGCATCACTCAAGTCATTCTTGGTTCTTGGCTCCCTGGAGAGATGGAATGTTCTAGCTAATGGCTAAAGCTGGCATGGGTGCATGCAGCTATAACAACTGAAACTGTCCTGGAATACTCTGTCTTTATCTTTCAGGTTAGAAAAGGTCTATAATCTCTTAAAGGAGCACTTGACACCAAAGAAACAAGAGGCACAATCAGGTAAATGGAATTCTGCTTGGGCCATGTTGAAGCACTTGCATGTATTCATCCACCCATCCATATTCCTGAGTGATGTTTTGGAGTTTCTCTCTGGTTTTGAATGGAGACTGGTCTTGTTTAATGTCTTTTCTCTCTTACTGTTTCCTTTGGAATATTTAAGACAGATCTAAAATGTACTGTACTAATGTCACTGAAGTTGAGGTGACACCACCTACTGTGGCATCCTTGTAGCAGAGCCAGGAGGAGTTTGTAGCCCTGGGGACTCACTGTTTGATGCTGTAAAATCAGCTGGTTCTCTTATCCACTTGCTCATTTAAGGCAGCTTGTGGGGTGTAATCAGCTCCTGAAGGGAGGACAGACAGCCAGTGCACAAATAACTCTCACCTCTCAATTTAATGTTACTGCAACTTAATGTGAATGAAGTGATTTTTTATTTCCCTGATTTGCACTGGGCTCTCTGGTGTGGTTGAGGGCCAAGCAATTACTGGAGAATATAATGGCAGAGGCTGTAAGGTGTGAAGCTGTCTCTTTTTGACATCCTTCTCCACTATGGGTGCCAGTGAGATTATTAAAGTAGCTGCTCCAAAATCCTAAAAGATTGTGAAAACCTTTCCAGATTTTGAACTGAATTTTGAGATTCCAGAGTTTGAACTGGACATTTGGCTCCAGTGCAGTTGAGGAGTGTAAGCAGAACTGACAAAGGAGCATATGAATCCATTTCAAGACCCTGTGTCTGATGTGCTCGGAAGGATTAGGTGTTGGGTTATTTGGAGAGGATTAGTGAGCCTAACAGCAGAGAAGGTAACAGCTGGGCATGCCTTTGCCTCAGACACTGCAGTCCTTGCTTTGGCAAGGGCTGGATTCCTCTGCTGCCAACGCACGCCTTCCTTTCACCTTTGGATGGCTGGGTGTGGAGAGGGCAAGAAGTGCAGGATTCCATGGGAAAGAACTCCTTCCTGTCCCTTTCTCCCCATTACTGGGTAATATCTGAGCAGAGGGTCTCAGCCTCTCATGCTGCAAGGGGTTCAGATTCACTGTTAACCCTTCCACACTCCCCTGTACCTGGTGACATCCTGGTGCTGCGTCTGGCAGGGGCTACACCAGGCCCCACCACCCACTAGAGAATCTAAAAGACAAAAAGAAGAGTTGTTGGACAAACAAGTATTTGGGTCACAAGCAGAGATGTATTAGCAGTCTGTATCCTGGTTTCCTGAGCTGTGGAAAAGGCCCTGGTGATGAACAAACACACTTTGCTTCAGATTCCTTGACTGGAACACCCTTCCCCAAGCATTTGGCTTTAGAAAAGCAAACACACACTGCCCTCAAAAAAACAGCAAAACCCCCCAAAACGAATGTAAAATCTAATCAACAGACTGGGTTTATGCCTTAGATTTCATAAGCAGAAGATGTTTCCTGGTTTTATTTCACTATGAGCCCTGCTGAGATTTATGGTATCTTTTGTTTCTTACCAGCTCATCCGTTGCTGGTTTCTGGGGAGCAAAGGGTCAACATGGCTAAAGCAAAAGTCAAGCAGAACTATGGGCAGCTGGAGAAGGAGTTCCAGAAGCAGAAGGCAGAGATGAAATCAAACGACGCCTCTGCCAAGACGGATGTTCCAAATATCCACATTAAAGAGGAGCCTGTGAGTGTGGAGGAGCCCATGGATACCTCAGCCCACGAGGGCCTGAACAACGGCCTGGTCAATGGCCTGCACCCAGCCCAGGGCTCCACAGAGCCTGTGAATGGCCACCTGCCCGGGGGCTGCATCGACAGGGTCGCCCAGGAACTGAAGGCCTTTGTGTCGTCAACATTTAAGAAACAATTTGTACTCACCCTGAGTGAGCTTAAACGGTTATTTAACCTTCACTTAGCCAGTCTGCCTCCAGGACATACCTTGTTCAGTGGCATTTCAGACAAAATGTTACAGGACATGGTGTTGGACACTGGCTGCAAACAGATTTTGGTGCCTGTAAGTACAGTTTTCCCTTGGTGTGCTTTGGGGGAGGGCTGTGGTGGGGGGGAGTTAAACATCTGAGATGTGAAAAATTTGTGCCCTGTGCTGGTGGACCAGAAGGATAGATGTGCTCAGAGAAACTGTCCAATATTTGACACGTTGAAGCTGCTGGAATTATGTCTGGGGTCCTGCTTCTGGTAGGCTCTGCACTCTGCCCTCTCTGCCTTGTTGTCCTTGGGGTTCAGTTTCCACATCCAGGGTGTTGGGCCACAGTAATTTGCTGTCCCAACTTGCTCCTGTTAACATGATCTAAAGCAGTCCCAGATTCCCAGCAGCTTTCCTGGAATTGCACAAGCTTCTTCCCTCGGGGACAGGGACCCAGCTGGGAGAGGAAAGATGACATCGACTGCCTGGGAGCAGCAGGATACACCCAGCAGAGCCTCTGGGAAGTGACAAAGCCCACCTGCAGCAGGTTTCCTTGGCCACTCTGTTTCCTCCTAGACTGTGCAGAGGTGCCTGTTTCTGTCTGTATGGAAATGATGTGTGTGATTGCGTGAGACAGAGCAGGGCTGTGAGACAGTGGATTGCTTAGGAGAGCAAAGGGAATCTGGCATCATGGGAAAGAGCCTAAAAGGAAATTAATTTGACAAGACATCTGGCACTGCTGATTGGGTTACAACCAGAAGGAGCTTGGGAGCAGATGCCTTTGGGGAGAGAGGAGAAGGAACATCTGAACTGCTCAAAAGAGCAGGAAGCTGGAGGGCTGGGAGAGCCTGGAGCTTGGGAGCTGCTGGGGGGCAGCAGGAACGTGTTCAGTCGTGTGCAAAGTACACATTGTGGCACCTGGGAACTGAGTAACAGCCTGGAAATGTCACTAGGGAGAGCACCAATTGTGGTGCTTTCTCTCCTGGCAGTTTCTAAGTCCTGGGGTGGTGCTTGCCTGGAGCTGTCTCATTGCTGGCCAGGCTCTCCCCTGTACCTGGTGTAATGTGTGCCTCTGCCATGCTGATGGTAAACAGCTGAAGTTGTTCCTGCTCTGTTATTTGGGCTTGTGTACTTTGGAAATTTGGGGATTTCGGGAATGTACACAAGAAATGAAAGTGAGATAGTTTCTCTTTTTGAAAAGTAAAATAAATTCCTGCTGAAGAGAGGTGGCCAGGAACTTCCTTCTGTGTGGAGAACCCTGTCACAGGAGACCTGCAGAGGTGCAGAAGTGCTCCCTGGAATGTCTCTTGAGGAGGCTGTTGCAGGTTTTAGTTCTGCTGACTCAGAATTTTCTGCAATACTTGAGCTCTTGTGTATGAGCCTGTACTGCTGTCAGCAATATAAATCATTGCCCCTGAGCTTCCCCTGATGCTCTGTGCAGATGGCAAAGGTGCTGGGGCTGGGTTTACTCTTTTCATGGGCTCAGACACTTTGGTGTTTCTTGATTGTTCCCCTGGCCAATTTTATCAGAACCCAACAAGGGCGCCTGAGCTTGGGGAAGGCCTGGAGGGTTATTCAGTGTGGGATTTCATAGTTACTCACTAGTTTTCTGTAATTAGAAGTGCTTTGGTGATAAAAATCAATGATCTGAGGTAATTAAAATGATGTTCTGTGGGGGTGAAGACAGTCTTTGCTTGAGTACTTACCTATTACAGGAAACATGTGGCTGAAAATGGCAATTGAAACCTTACCAGGGGAATGCAGGATCTATTACAGAGCTGACCAACAGCACCCAGGGTATGAGATAAACAGTGTTTGTGGGGAGCGAGGAGAGGCCACCCCAGCTGCAGCTGAGGCCATGGGGATACCTGCAGGGTGCTGTGCTTGCTGTGCTTCGTAGCCTCATCAAGCAGGAGGGAAAAACACAGGTCAGGAAAGAGCAAATCCTGGGCTGGTGCCATGGGAGAGGGTAAGGAGGGGACAGACAGAGGAGAGGAGCCCTGGGCAGGCAGGACTCAGTGCCTGTGCCTTGAGCTGTGCAGGCTGAGCTGCTTTCCCACCCCATGGGAAGTGTCTGTGCAGGACTCTGGCTCCTGAGGATCTACACCCATTTCCTGCAGACTGCGGGTGACTGGCTCCTGCCGTGGCTCCCTTCCCATGGACCGTGGAGTGGCAAGGTTCTGCCCAAAACTGGAGGATATTTTTGAGGCCTCAGGAAATGATGTAACTGTTGTGTGCATCCTGCCTGGCTGGGCTGACAGAGGGGAATGCAGCCCTGCGCTCACAGAGAGCCCTGCAGGCTGGTACCAGTGCCAGGCCCCCTGAGAGGTGAGATCAACAGTTTACCTTTAGGCTTACTCCAGCTGATAAGTTTTTTTCTGGCACACTCAGCCCCTTCCATCTGGTTTAGCTGTAATGTGAGGCTGCCTGGCAGTGGCTCAGTGCTTGAATGAGGCACTTCCCAGAGCCAAGGGCTCCTCCCTGAGAGGTTCCATTTGAACGTGGCAGCCCTGGGACCTGGGGCAGCAGTGAGTTCATCTCCCAGGAGCCCTGCCTTTGCTCCAGGGATTTAGAGCAGGAAGGGGCACAGGACAAATATTTTAAAAAGGATTTTAAGGTAGCAGAGAGCTGTATCACAGTGAGGCTGGGGAGATCAAGGTGACATAAACCAGCAAAGGGACAGCAGATGGCAAGGCAGTGAGGCTGTTTGGGCTGTGTGTGTCTGAAGAATCCCTGATGGCATTTCCCACTTTGTGGCCAGGCTGTGTGACAGGAGCAAGCAAGCAGGGAGCACTTGGCAGCAGTGTTTGCAGCAGTTTGCAGAGGAAGACTGGCTGGGAGGAGGAGATTCTGTGCAGTTTTCTTCCCAACTAAGTATTGTGTTTGTTTGGAAGCCGTTTACTCACAGAATGGCTGGATAAACACAGCTGTTTTTCAGCCCTGTGGCTGAGGCAGGAGGAGTTTGCACTCTGGGGTTGTGCTGGCTCACTTTGTCAAGCCCAGCAGGTTGTGCCTGGGTGTTCCCCCAAAGTGCCCTGCTGCACTTTGCCATTCCTGCTACAGCTGTTGTGTGGAAGGAAGCGGGAGTATTTGATTTTATCTCTGCTGAAAACCTACAAGAGAGATTATTCCTCAAAAGCAAGTGTCCTTATGGGAGGAGAATTATGTCAGGTGCTGTGAGCCTAGTCAGCCTGAATCCTGGCTCTAAACCAAGTGTAAAACCTTGTTATATTCCAGACATTTGGACTAACCTGAAAATCAAAGCAGCTAAACCCACTAGGCAGCTCCCACTGGACAAAACCCTTCCCCTTTGCAATAAGATCAGAGGCAGAACATGAAAGGAAATGCTGATCTTTTCACTCTGCGATTCTGGCTGGTGTGAGGGAGGCTGGGAAGAAAGGTTTGGTTTGTACCAGCAGCCAGGATTGAGGGATGCTGGAACAATTGGGACTGGCTTGTTAGCTTTTCATAGATGATTGATTTAGGTCAGCTGGGCGGTTAGCAAGGAATAAATCGTTAGTGACAGACAGGAAGAGACATGTCAGGAGTGAAGGCATATTCCAGCAGTGCTCATTAGTCACTGCTCCAAGGGGAAATGTTAAGGTATTTTATTTTCTTAGGGAGGGAGGCAGTTGTGCTCCTTCCTATATGCAGGGGTGTGAGGCTTCTGTCTCAGAAAAATGAATGTGTTTCTCTAGCTTGGCACACAGGGGAAAAACAGAACAGGCAAAACCACTGTCGCCTTTGGAGCCTGGATTGAGCAAATACCTGGTTCACTATCTGTCAGTGTTTGGTCTTCTGGAGTCCTGTAGTCTGCCCCAAAACAGAGATGGCAATACAGCAGAAGCACCTGCTTGTCAGTAATGCTGATTTGAGATTAGTGAAGCAGATAAGTGCAGGATGGAGTCTGAATCTATTAAACCTGCCACTGTAAAGGTAAAAACCTCCAGAAGGACCCTGCAGTACACTTGGTGCTCTCAGCTGAGTACTGTTCTGGATGGTCTAGAAACAAACACTGCTGACACAGGAAAAATCTACAGATATCTTGCCATGGCATACCATCAAAGTCCAAGCCCTGGGATTATTCTGGTACATGGTGGTCATCTCTCCACCAGTGGGAAGCTGTCCCCATGCACAGTTCATGGGATTCCAGTGTCCAGCAGTTCCCTCGAAAGCCCAGCTGTGGTTGGTGTGTGACAGATGTGGCACCAGTGCCCTGTGCAGGTTGTCCCACCCTGACCAGAGCCATCAGTCAAACCTGGGCACATGGAGACACACCTCAGGGTGCCATGGTGCTCATCCCATTCCCTGGGTCACAGGTGTGACACAGACCATGTCAGTGGGGCTGTGAGAAGGTGCTGAGCAAACACAGGGCTGCCAGAGCCAAGGCACCCCTTCCAGTGTGGGGTGGGACAGCAGTTGGCTTGTTCCAGCAGTTATTATTCCATGGCAGCCAGGGTTTTGATTCAGTAATGGGTGTCCAGGGATACAGTATCATGGAATCATTAAACAGAACTCATTAAATAGCTGGTTATTTTTAACAGCCTCTTGTTCTCAGTTTCCTCCACAGACTGCTGCCTCACCAGATGAACTAAAGGTCTATGCACTTTGGGAAGCTGGTGACACTTACGATCAGGTAAAGATAAAATAATTGACATTCCCCACTATATTTTTATTGAGCATTTGGCACTGTTTGCATTCATGTTTCTGGAAGTAATACAGCAGATAGTTTTTCTCTATTGGTGTTTTCAACACCAACCTGTTTCCAGCTTTGAAAGCAAGCTCATAACATATTGGTAATCATGTCAGTAAGCAGCTCAGTGGCTATTTCTGGACCTGTGAGAAGAAAGGATTCTCCAGTGCAGGCCTCAGACCACGATCCAGTCCAAGGTTTTTTTTCCTTTTGATGGTAATGCAACATTAACCAGAGATTAGCAGGTGTATCTGTTTATACTTAAGATTAGGAAATGTTTACCTCACATGTGAGCATCTGCTGAATTTTAACTGCTGTCGTAGTAAACGAGGTGAAAGGGAAGATGCCTAAACACCTGTGGATGGGCAGTGCAGTTCCTAGCTCCATAAACTGAATACATTTTTATGGGAAAGAGGCAAGCACCAGCCAACCTCTTGCCTGAAGTGAACTCCCATGGAAGCATTTAAGAGGAATACATTGCAACACCTTCTTCAGTGTGTTTTTGTACCTTTGGGGGTGCTCCAGGTCACAGGAAAGGTGCAGGTGTGGCCACAGGGTCTGGAGAGACCCCTGTAGAGCCCTGTAGAGGAGGATAAGGCACTGCTGGAGAGCGGGAATATATGGGATGGTTTCAGGATTATGAAGCAAGACTCCTCTGATGTAGTTCAGGGAATGTTTTGTACAGACTAAGGCACGTGCAGTTTTGATACAAAAGATAGGAATGATTGTTCTCTGTGTACTTACAATACATTTGCTTTCAAAGCATCGCCAAGTTTTGCTTGAAATCTTTTCGAAGAACTACCGAGTGCGCAGGAATGTCATCCAGAACCAGCTGAGTCAGGAGTGTGGGGAGGATCTAAACAAGCAGGAGGTGGATAGAGTGTTAAAGGTAAGCTGCTGTTCACTTTGGGTTGATGATGGTTGAATTAGTACATGAGTTTTAATGCTTGATTTGAGCAAAGGATTATATTTTACCTTGAACTGATAAATGATAAAGATGATAGAACAGTTGTTGGAATATGGACAAAGCCTGTGTTTCAGCTTTTTTTCTTAAAAATGCACTTGTCTCATTCTATCTTCTTTCCCCCCCAAGGAGCAATGGCTCACACATTATTTTGTATTATTGCAACAAATCTCTCCGTCATCTTGGAGCAGCAGAGAATAGAGTGTAGTAAATGTGATACTTGAGTTATTTTTAAATAATGCAGAATTAAACATTAAAGAGGTGGAAGGGCTCTGCCCACTGCTCTGAGTTACCAACTGTCTGCTGCTGGTTAGTGCTGAAGAGCACAAGTGCCACATGTTCAGAAGGAAGTACATTTTATTCTCTAGCGAGATATGCAGCTTTGCACAGAGCAAAACCCTGGCCAAAACCAGCAGGCAGAGTAGTAGTTTACACATCTCATTGTGAATGTTTATTTGAATCCTTTCATCTCTCTTTGAAGAGGCACCATTTACTTGCTCAAGGAGTTTAAGGTATAAAGTATAGACCACACAAGCCATGGCTTTAAAAGAGATGCAGGATGGCCAAGCCGAAAGTTGCCAACTAATGTAATACTTTAATCATTGTGGCTGGGCCTTTGCTCACTGTCACCCACTTCAATAAGACAAATGCTTAAGTACTTTATTACATTGTGATCTGCAAATGAATAATAGCATCTTTGAAGAACTACAGATCTGTTGCTGTGATAATAAACAAACTGGTCTTGCTTGAAAGAACCTGGTCGACTTACCAGTAAAGTAAGCTCAGACATTTCTGCCTGCTAGACAGTATTTCCTTTGGCTCCCTGTGCTGGGGGATTTGTCAGCATGAGCTCAAGTATCAGCTCTCCTGGAACAGCTAGACAATGTACTGGCATTAGTTTTTCATGATGCTGTTGCTGTTTAACAGATAACCTATTTCTAGAAAAAATACTTGCCCCTAAGTCATCAGGCATTGTTTTTATGTAAGTCACTAAGTCACTGGGTGGCCAGCCTTGTGTTGTGGCAGGCTTTATTGCCTTGAATACATTTGTCACAGGAGTAGGGGAAATTACCTTTGTTTCTGAAATAAAATTTAGAAGTCTGATTTAATGAAATGGGAAGATTCTCTGACTTCTTTAAGCCACAAGAGATTGGATTCCACTTCGAGTGAAATTGGATTTGTTGACTTCTATTTCCCCATCTGCCTGTGCTCATTTTTATACACAGAGGAACAGACTCATAGGGTTTGTATTTTTGCATTTGCAGATCAGTCTGCAAACCCTCTTTCTAACCTCTGGGTTTGTTTTTGTTACGGATGAGCCCCAAAACTTCAGAAACAAAGATACATTTAAGCTCCACAGCCTCAGTTCTGCAGTACTACTTTAGCCTGTGTTGAATTACCTAAGAGGGAGGTCGGAGCAAAAGAAAGGGAAGCCGTTAGCTCAGAACTCGAGACTTTGTGCTCACCTAATAGAAACAAGGAAATGAGCCCCAAGACAACCCAATTCCTGTGCTCCATTGCTGAGGTGCTCTCCTGCCATAAGCATAGCATATGTGTGGTCACAACAGGGCTCTGAAGTTTGAGACTTGATTATCATAGAAAGGGTTTCTTAAAAGGCTTCAGATCCAGTGACTGCCCTCACCCTCCTGCTCTGTCCCACTGCTCCCCCCACAGTCTCTTCCCCTGAGATTCAGCCCCTCTTTACCCCTCCAGCTCTCACACATCCTTGCCTTCCTCATCTGCCTTCTGCATGAGCCCCAAGTTCTCCCCCAGGAGCCACAGCTATTCCTCACTACCTTGGCATCGTTTGTCCTTTGTGGCTCTCAGCCTTCCCCCCACCATGTGTCCCCTCCATTGAAGCCATCTGTCCTTCAGGGTGGGGATGCCCTGTGCCCTGGGTTCATGTTTTCTCCTTGCACTGGAGAAGGGCTTGTTACCGATCATGCTTATTATCCCAGAGCCAGCCAGTTGTTCCCATGGCTTTATGGACTTTAGAATCATAGAATCTTCAATGTTGGAAGAGACCTTTGAGATCACCTAGTCCAACCCTCAACGCAGCAGTAGCACTGTAACCACGAAACATCACCCAGCACCAGATCCAGACACCCCCTAAACGCCTGTAGGGATGGTGCCTCCACCATGTCCCTGGGCAGCCCCTTCCAGGGCCCGAGCAGTCCAACAGAGCCTTTCCCTGTCTCCCCAGGACTGTTGTGTCAGCTACGGTGGAATGTGGTATCTTAAGGGGACGGTGCAGTCCTGACAGCGGTGGCAGCGGTGTCAGGCGATCTCGGGGACGCAAGAGGAACCCACAGCAGGCAGCACAGCCGGAGCAATGCCGTGGCCTCGGCAGCCAGGCCGGGATCTGAGCTGCTCTGGGGCACGTGGGCATCGCGGGCAGCCACTGACATCCCAACACCCAGAGTTCGCATGGCCTCCGAGGCACAGGAGCCGCCGGGAAGGCACCACGGGACCCTGTCTACAGCTTGATTATCTGGGATTTCTAATGTATTGCAATTCTCCTTCTGTTTCGTTATGAAAAAATAAAACCATATAGTGACACAGACATGATGGAAAATCATGGTCTAAAACTTTATTTTGTAAGTAATGCCAATAAATTAAATTTGTTTACAAACATCCCAGTTTTTGTTAAATCCCTGGATGCTCATACTTTAGTGTGAGCATTGTCATAGCCCTTGCAGCCCTCTTCAGAGAGAGCAGGTAGTCATGTTCATGGGAATGTCAGGCCTGGGCGGGGGGAACAAAATCACTGTCTGTGAACTCTGTACTACATAACCATTGTTCTCACCTGTTGTCTGTGAAATGAGTTATTTGGAGAAGTACCTACATCTGAAACATGGGGAACAACCACTGGATTTCTTCTGCTGGTGTGGGGTTGGTTTGAGGGACTTTGTGCATTACTGTATGTGACAGAGCAAGGTAAGTAGCTGAGGGCACCCTCTGGAAGGCATCCAGCTGTAGTTACCACACGGTAACCATGTAAAACCTCTATTTTGTGTAATTTTTAAATAAAATTTTATCTCAAAGGTCAATTCTACCCCACCTTGTATTTGTCCAAGAAGAAACAGAAGCTGCATCTGCTCTTTTTACATCCTGAAGGCTTGGGAAGGAAAGACAGAGGCAGAGAGCGAAGTGCAGTGCAGTCCCTGAGCTCCCTGGGGCTGTGCAGCAGCAGGGACAGGGACCCAGCCCTGGTGGCTCATCTTGAACTGGCCTTACCTGCACGAGTGTCTGCTGTGGGCACTGCACAGCACGGTCACTGCTGCTCCTATTCTCTGCTGCAGCTTCCATCACATGAGAAGCTCAAGGGGATTCTATTGATTTCATCTGCTTATGCTCAGAAAAGGCTGAGTTGAGTTGTTGACCAAAATAAGAAGATTAAGGTAGTTAATCCAGATAAGATTGGCTAAGAATATTGTTACCGTGCTTATGGCATTTCACATTTTGGTGGAAAATGGCTATTTCTTAACTGCTAAAACTCTACCTTATTTAATAGGTTAGTGTCATTTATTAACTGCATCAATAAAACGGGCATGTGTTTTATGTTCAGGCAGCCCTGGCTGGCACTGACCCAGTGGCTGTGGCTGGAAAGCTCTCTGGAAAAGCCATGTTCCAGGAGAAGCTCTAATAAGAACCCAGCCTGGAGGGATTTGTTGCATTGCCTGTACAGGTAAGTGCTGCAGGACGGCCAAAACTCAGCAATGGCACAGGTAGCCAAGGGGGAAGTATGGTACAGAAGAACGAAGAAATTCTGAGGAAATTTCATTTTTGGTTTTTTTAAAGCATAGAAATTATTTCTATCTAAGTGCTCTAAATTAGCCAAAAGTAGTAAACCACTGAATATCACCTATTTAACCAAAAATCTGGAACTGCTTTTGCATGTCTTCTGCCCAGCGGGTGTGGTTTGCTCCATCCCTAACGTGGCAAGGAACACTGGTAGTGAACCATTTTGTGCCTTTCTCAGGTTACTGCTTTCCAGTCTCTGAATTGGGGAGAGATGGGTGCAGGTGCCAAGGACACAGTGACAGGACAGTAACCTTATGGCAGAGCAGCTTTTCTGCTTTCCCCACCCTCACCTCATTTTTGAACAGTGCTGACAGATACCACAACAATGAGGAAAAACAGTAGTACTTACTTCCATCTGGATTTCTGTCCTAGATAGACCTGTTCTTTTCTACATAGTGCAACTTTTCTAAAATACAAATTTCATGGGAACTCCATCTGAGCTCTGTAGGAAAGATGGCAAGACTACATAATGCAGGTGCCATCTGCACCAAGTTCAGTTTCCTGATTGGCACAGATGGATGTAATTACTACTAACGCATGTAGCTTGACTGGATTATTTATTTGCTTAGAAAAATATTCAGAAGATTCAGATTCCCATTTTTAAACAATTTTCAGACTGCAATACATGTTTTAGAGAAACTCCCACAACGTGAAGTCTTAATACTGCACCTGAAGGACAAGCTTAACAGAGAACAGCATAAGGCAGCAGAGCTGCAGCAGCAGCAGCTGGACTGAAGCTGAGAAACTGTCAACATTCTGGGTCAAGGGTTTGGTACCTCACAGCAACTCTGCAGGAAGCTGCTTCCCAAGAATTGCTGGCCACATTAAGCTAGGAGACCCTTTACAAGGAGAAGGATGTCACCTTTCATTCTGCCTTTTTTCTTCCTCTTAATTTCTCTGCATTCTAAAGAACAACCTCCATGTTGTTTTTCAGAAATTAAGTAGTGCATGAATTATTATTAGGGAGTGGAAAAGGAGAGGGCGAACAAGAGTGTGGTCCCATTTTCAGTAGGATATGTGGTGGCGGTGTTGTGTCCGTCCTCCCACCCCCCAGGCAGCATGGAATAGGTCCAGAGAGGCCAACACTGGAAGCAACAGACAAAACAATAAAAGGTTTTACCTCGCCTGTCTCCTCAAGCACTTTGAGTTTGTGGTATGCAACATTAAAAGCTACTCCACTATGTCAATGCTACTTCTAAAGTTAAATAGCTAAATAACAACTCTCTAACTTACCAAATACACATTAAAATGTACTTTGCAGACATTCCACCAGAGACCTGTAGGTCCCAAATAACACATAGTCAATTCACAGTATCTTGCCTTAAGACAAAGTGCCCTACAAAGGAAACCGTCTCTAAAAAGCCACACAAACTTTACATCAAATCCTTTCTTCATAGGATGACATTTATATTAATCTGTGGGAGAGCTTAGTGATTGTGAAAACGTGGTATTGGCTTAAAGCAAGCACAGCTTTCCACCACCCTGCCAAAGCAAGATCAGCTGGACCATGCCCCTCCTGGAGCTGAGGAGATGCTGCCCTGGGACTTCACTTTTGCTCATTTCCTGCATCATTGTAGTAACAGGGCTAGATCATCCCTGTGTACCAAAGGAAAGCTTTAGTTTGGTTCTTGTGAGAGATTCAGAGTTCTTAGCTCTCTTATTTCTGAAGTGGACTAAGGAAAGAAGTGTCAGTCACTGCTCTGGCAAGAGCTGAAGTGCAATATGAAATAGTAGTGTAGGATTAAGCTATGATGTTTGTTTGTTTTACAACCACTAGTTTGTGTGACAGTGCTAAACATTAAATCTACTGCTACACAGGAACAGGGAATCTAGCTGATAACTAACTAGCTTGTTAACTACAGGGCTACCAGCCAATCCAAAACATTCATTTTGAGTGCTCAAGAAACACATCAGATTAAGGGGTCTTCTGACATTCATATGTAGCGTGTTCTTGACTACAGACAAGGTTACGGCTGAGATGAGAGTGTCTTGTACTTCGCTCTGTGTTCATCTATTTCTTCTTTTGTTTTTCTGATACAGCTAAAAATCTCCTTGAATAGTGCTTTATATTCAGGGGGAGCATTTGTGGAAGAGTCACTTAGCTCAGCAATTGTGAATTCGTGATTGCTAGCTGAAAGATCATACTGGGTGCTCCCCACATTTAGGTCTTTGGAATACTGCTTCAGTGTTTGTACAGCCTTGTGTTTCAAAGAATCTTCATCCATTTGACACTTCTTCAAAAGTTCCTCATACTTCACTTTCAGAGCATTGTACTGAGCATCAACTTCATTGAGTACAGAGATTCCTCGCTGCTTCACAGCTTCAGCTCTCCTAATACACGTTTCTTCATGGCCCCTGAGAATGTCTGCCCCAGCAGCACTGCTCAGGAGGCTTTCACTGCTGCTCCGTTTCAGTGCTTTCTTCTCAAGCTCCGATACTGTCAGAAGTCCATCATCTCCCAGGCTCTGACCAAGCTCCCTGTCCAGAGATTCCTTGAATGAAATGAAAAAGGATTCTGGAACCAATTTCTCTGCATTATGGAGCGCATTCTCAGACTGAAGTATCTGTCGCATTTCAGCTACTTCTGCTTCCAGCTCCTCCGCACGAGCCCTATACAAGTCTGTATCAACCAGCCTCCGCTCCAGGTCACAGTTTTCTTTCACCATCAGACTATATTCTTCTTCCATAGTTACCCTCTTCTCTTTCTCTAGGTTCAGCTGGGCTTGCAGAACTGTCACTGCCTTCTTCAACTTCTCATTTTCTTCTTCTAGAGGACTTAGCTGACTATCCATCGAAGTAATCTTTTCTGCAAAGACGTGATCATAAACAAAATACCTGCAGAAACAAAATAAGGATTATCAAACACAGAAGTACAGCTGACCACACCTAAAGTTTTCCTGTCCTGGGTAACTAATGGCATATTTAAACTGTGTGCTAACACACTTCAGAGCACTAACAGGGGCCACTGCATGAACCAATCAGTCCATTTAGTAATCAGAACGGAGTTTGTAAGGACTTACATGCCATTGAACCAAGCTCACAGCTTAGGGAGAATGGCAGCTTGTTAACAGTTCCATGTTACAGACAAGCTGATTGAACAATACAAGTTTAAATTATAATTTAAGTTTAGATACACACTGCCTCCCTGTACCATGCAGTACTTTCTGACATTAATTTCTTCTACAGCACTCCACTCTTGTAACTTTTGTCACTATTGATGTAGAAACAAGTGTCATAATTGACAAAGCAATGCTGGAGGCTGGTATTTTCACAAGCTTTTGGCAGCTTGAAGGATCCACTTGTCTTCTGAACTGACAAGAAATAACTTCTTTTTGGATTTATCATTTATTCTAGAGTAGACACAACAACCTGTTCTGTCTGTGGAGGTGCTTCATTACAAAACTGCCCTCTAGGCTTGCAGTTAGTCTGAGCTTTTACCAGGTGATTGTCCTGATGGCCCCACTGTGGCAGTTCAGCTGGGTCATATGGCTCTACATTTAAAAGGCAGCCCAGCACCCCAGGCACCGTTTTCCCAGTGTAGGTGTCACTTGAACCAGCTTAAATTTGAAAAAACTACAGAAATATCCATGGATATCCGAGGAAAGAGTAAGTTACAGGAAATATTTTGCATTTAGTAAGTTTGTTTTTCAGATTATCTGCTTGCTTTTATCTGACTGATAACACTGGGGTGCAAATTGTTGTAAGCTTTCTAGGCTACCATTTGAAATGGCTGGCTCTGGGGAGAAAGTGGAGCACTAA